TATATATAATTATACATGATTATATACAAGTAACATGTATTAACATGCATGAACAAGTTTCATAAATAATTATATATAATAATTTAAAATTATATATAATTTTATATAATTTTACATAATTATGTATGAAACATTTTTCATCGAGATGCGACAATAATAACTTCCCAAGTAAAATCTACTAAAAGATATCTTAAAGATGTCGCTTATGTCAAAAAGACATTCTATTTTCGTTATAGATGTTAAGACATCTTATGACATCTTTTACTAATTTATTTAAATTATTAATTAAATATTTTTTAAAATCTGTCTTTACGCGCTTCAAACTAACATCATAATGAAATTGTGTAGTGAAAATTCTAAATTCAAAACTGTATATTTCCGAAAAATGGGGAAATTAAGTTGTATGTGTGTGTCGATTATTCTTCTTTTAAAGAATAATTGAAAAATTAAAACGAAAAAATTGATTTACTCTCACCAATGCAGATACGTGGTCCTTCACCAAATGCCAAGAAAGCGTAAGGATGCCTCGCTGCCACTTGGTCCGCGTTGAAACGTTCAGGATCGAATTTGTCCGGATCCGGGTATATTGACGGATCTCGTTGTACTCCGAGCACTGGTATAGTGATCAATGTCCCTTCCGGAATGCGAACGTTTGTCGTTGGGAGGACTATCTCTTTGGTACAGACACGATTCAGAATAGTTCCAGGTGGATATTTCCGTAAGGTTTCTACGAAGATATATGTAGATATGTTTCATTAACGTAACTGATTATATTATCGAGAAGTTTGTAGTTTCCTTGGGGAGAGAAGATTCTTCGCGATATGTTAAGAAGATATCATACTTGCCTTGGACTACTTTGTGTAGATACGTCATTTCGTTCACAGCATCGTAAGTCAGTCCACCATGCTTTTTTAACGTCTCATTGATCTCCTGGCGAATTTTGTCTTGTATATCCTGATGTATGGCTAATTCATACAGGCAGAACGTCGCCGTAGTCGACGATGTTTCGAAGCCAGCTATGAAGAAGAGAAAGGCTTGTGCGGTCGCTTCCAACATGGTAAGTTTATTCGTGTCAGCTGCGTTGGAATAAAGTACCAAAATCGCTTAGTGATCTCGCATAGCAATGTTATAAATATTTTGAGAGGTCAAAAGTGCATATATACGTGATTACTATACATATAATACGTCACGCACATGAGATTTTTTACAATGTGAACAAAATCGTTTGTCGCTGTGAAAATATAAGATATAGTAAAGTATAAGATATATATTTACAAGATTTATCGGCGGTGCCCTTATTATCGTCGTCGAGTTCAACGTAGCCTTTCTCCATGAGTTGTATAAGTAAATTCATAAAATCGTGCCTTACGACGTTGTGAGTTTGCCTGTACTCCACATTGTCACGGAATAATTTCGTGAAGAACTTGGTGACACCACGATCCGTAGCAGGAATGGAAAAGAATTCCAAAATTTGTGGTGCGAATATCGTCATAGCGGCCCAAAAAGGATTTATTTCAAAAAATTTCTTTCCCCAGTATCGATATTCATTATTCGCCTCAACTAAGCAGTTGGACTTTATTCCCAATGCAGTTGACATAATTATATCCGTCGTATATCTATTGTTATTGGATAAATTGTTTGGTTAAGTTCTAATATACAATAATTTGCGTAAGTATGTAAATAAACGAATAATTGCGGCAAGAGTTTATTACAATTGCTTACTGATGCCAGCCCGTTAATCAAGTATTGATTAAAACAAACGATTTATAATTATTATGTACTGTTTTTACAAGTTACTTTTTAAAGAAAAACATTTATTCTGTTGCCTCAACGATCATTTTTCCTTTGAATAAATCTTCCTTAATTACCTTGCAAATATTTCTTTGATATCAACTGCATTTTTTGTATGAGTTTCCATTTCTAAACTCTTCGTCAACTCTTCACTATACTCTTTTATAACCGTGAACATTTGTTTTATCTTGCCGGATGTGAAAGTGGGTGCCAATTTGACGCGTAAATTCCGCCACTTTTTTCCGGGCAATAAAAACAAATGACCAGATAGTGGATCGACCTTTTCGTTGCAATACGTTCCACGATCATAAAAACTCTTGAATTCCTTCGTGAGCACAGTTTGAATTAGATCGAGATCGGCGACTATCAGATTTGGTTCGAAAAATGTGTAGATTCCAATAACACGATGTTCCTTATATTTCATATAGAAATTTTTCATGAGTTCGCCTGTTTACACAATTTTTGTTTAGTTGTGGATGCAGAATATAATAGGATGTATATTATAGTATTGCAAATTTCAAAGAGACTCAACGAAGCAGAAGTGATTATTTTGTTACATATAATAGAAAGAGAAGGCTTTTATATTGTTTTTTTCATTTTCTGAGATGAGATACTTCAATTACTGAAGGTACTATTAACGTCAATCAATGATACTTGCCTATTGACATTTTTCCAATCACAGATTTGGTCACATTGCCAGTCGGTACAACAGGTTCGACAGGTACAAACACTCCCTTTTTTCGCCAGAAATTGAATATTACGTACTTATAATAAATATATACTAATATTAGGATGGAGATAAAAAGCCCGCTTATTAACATCTTGTATTGATATTTTTTGCCTGTAATATAACGATAAATGAGAAATTTGTAATGCTTTTCCGTTAATCGAAGTGTTAACGAAAGTGTTAAATAGGCTTTGGTATTTCTTAAACTTCCGATGTATCTATGCTCAATAAATGAACCGTTTAGTTTGAAAATTATGTATGTTTAATTTCGAAATAATTTAGTTATCTAATTGTTCTGATTGTTAATCAAATTAGTTTTATTTCTTAAAGCAATTCAGCCATCGACCAGAAGAAACCGTCTCTTATTGTCCAATATAGAATTATTTCCGTATTTATTGTCATGTTTTAGTTTAATTGTACAATTTGTCTTCAGAGGAATATATTTAATGGATGATACTTAAGATTTATTTCAATATTCGTAATGTCATGTTTGTGATCGCGTTTCAATCGAGAGGAAAATTATACTTCTTCTGGACATATTCAATATGTATTTATGACCCGTATTTATAGTCGTAACTTGAAACTTGCCTTTTACGTGAGATACTCAGGTTACATGCAGAGATGGAAATGGGTTTTTTAGCTAAAACTTGATTCAAAATATCACGTATATTATATGATTCAAATATAAACTCAAATCTGATTATAAACACATTGAGACCTAAATATCTTACGTGGGATTAGCTTCAAATAGCGATTAATACGGGTTTATGTTATGTGATTCAATAATCAATTAATGAAAATTTTTATGTATTCAGCATTTTAGTTCTTTATAGTATTATAAAAAAATACTATATACTCTCGTGTCTTTAATTGGTGCAACAAATTGCTGAACACATATAGTGCCAAATATTTTAATACAGAAACTTAGTACACATGACATCCCTTATAGAAAAGTATCACTAGCTGTAATAAATTGGTCAGTAATAAATAATAATTTTATTACTCGTACGAATAATATAATTATTGAACTCCACTAATTATCACTGGTTAAATTATCACTTAGTATTTGTTCGCAACGTGGCCGCAGGTTTTTTGGCAAGCGAACTTCCCGGACAGCTCGAGCGATTTGATCGTGTGATCTCAGACGACGCACCGAATTTGTGTTGGTTATAGCTTAGTTGTTGTTCGATGTGTCCGCTCGGAAAAGGTTCGAATCAAGCAAATCGTTTCACAGACGAAACAAATTTAATCGTAATTTACAAATAAAGCACAATTGAATATCTACCGTGCGAAGGTATGGTTGAGCCGGAGTTTATAATTACTGATGGCAAACGTGCCTTGATCGACTACTGAGTACCGGCGAGAAGACGGTTCGAAAACGTGAGAGGGATTATTCTTGGTTGTCGCCTTTAAAACGATGATTCTCGGCGCTTGGCAATTGCGGATTGGCCACGGCGCTTAAGTTTGATATGACGATATACAAAAAACTTGATTCTGCCTTCTAACGTTCGCAGCCGCTTTCGGAGTTCGATGTTATGCGATAGTTGCCGTGGGAACGGCACGTACCGCGTGTTATTCGTAATCGTTTAGCCCATGAAAACAATTAGGGTCACAGCTTGATAACGCGTGGATCCGGGCTAATGTTATGCTTCGAACTGTTATCCGAGTCGACCTCTTCGGGATCGAACGATCGATCTCGAACAGTATTAAATTTCTATGAGGGGTGTAACATGTGTGCAGCTACAAACGTGTCTTAATAACTTTTAATCTCTTATCAGTTGATTAACTTTTTCAGTAATACGCATATATATGCTATCATATGTCGGACACGTACGTATAAAAAATCTTATATTATGGTTTACGCATATAATTTAATTAATTACGTTGAAAAATAAATTACAATGCAGAAAGAAGAATTCGTATCGGCGGACTGTAGATACACATATGTGTCTTACGAATTTTTTCCACTCTTGAAACAACAATCATCAGCTATTGCAATCGGCGCTTATTTTTATGCAGTTTTATATATTTTAAATTTACAGTAATAAACACAATTTCATTCGTTCCGGCATACTTTCGATTTCTTAAGAAATTATCTTTCCTATTAATTGATATATAACAGTGAAAAATTTTTCGTTCAATTCTGTTCCATTCGATGTAAAATATAAAATTTTGTATTTAAAGATGTAGTTAGTTCACAGTCAATTCAATTTTTGTAATATGCAATCTATTTAAATCTCCCTTTGTTTTGATATCTCGTAGAAGAAGATAGTGCACTTACATCACTTTCAAAATACATGGTCAATTAAGACAAGAAGGGAATGTTCATTGTAAATCCGTTGCTAATATTACCTTTATTGCACAAGAGAACCAATTTATTTTATTGGTCACTAGATACAGTTCAAATTATATTTTTCACAATTATAAAACTGTATAAAATCACTTATAATCACATATTGCATGTTCATATCAACTAACGACACGAATGCAATGAAGAGAGAACTCGCTTATATTGCAATCCAACATTATCTTCAACACGCAAGAAATGAGAAGTGTTATTTAAGTCAGCAGGCTACATATTTTGTTATCACGCAAATAAATGACGTAGTGCTGAATTATTATCGTTTTTATCATTGATAATCCTCTTTGCGAAAGAAGAGCTAGATAAAGAGCCACTATTTAATAATATGCCTATAAAAAATCACATCTTATATTGTTGTTTACGCACATAATTTGATTAATGACATTAAGTTGAAAAATGAATTACAATGCAGAAAGAAGAATTCGTATCGTATATGTTATAAAATTTAAGTAAAACAAATGTTTTTTAAATTTCTGCGTATTATGTGTTTGAAACACAGTTGGACAAGACAAGCTCTCGAGATCATTTCTAGTATGTTTAAAATGTCCTGGCATATTTTTAGGATATTTAGTTATTATACCTTACACGTTTTTGCGTAATATATTCTCTATGAGTCGCAATCGATAATTTGTTAAAACTATTACCCCGGTCGATGTACATACATGTCGCATTCAACCAGTCATCAATTGGCCAATTGGCCATTTTTTTTATGCGATAGATTTCGTGATAATATCATACTGTGCTTGATTTTTTTGCATCAACGACATTTTTTGTTTACGTTTTTAAATACGGCCATATTTTATTTATAAAAAAAAATTAGTTTTAATAATATTACTAGAGTGTCAGCATTTCTTTTTTTTGATGTTTGTATGTAACATTTTGCACCCACATACCTCGTCAGGATTCATATTACTATTTAAAAGTATCAGCGTGGTTAGCTTATAGCGGTTCAATAATAAGATTTACACCACCTTTTGCATTGAGTACAAATATCTTATTATCAATTTCGAGTGGTATCGCAGTTTGGGGATGCAATTTAGCCTTGAATCTCGACAATACGCTTATAATCCCAACTTTTGCTTGCACGTAACCAAACCTTGTACCTGAAAATGTGGAAATTAAGTTGTGTGTGTGTTGATTATTCTTCTTTTAACCTTTAGGATGTCGGAATTTCTTCATTAAAAAGGGGTTTTTTTCTCAAAAAATTTTTCTATATTAGTAACATACATGGCGTAGAATTTTGAAATTTATGCAGAGCCACAAAAGTCGTTTTCCCGGCGGGGAACGTACGATCAAATATAAAAAAATTTTTTTCTAAAATAGTGTATTTAGGGGTTTTTGGTATCGCTAATTCCAATTCTGAGCATATCCTAACAGCATAGATGTCCAGGGGACATCCAGAGTACATCTTAAGGAAATCCTGAGGACATTTCTTCGTCCTCAGGACGTCGTCAGGATATCCTCAGGAGATCTTGTGCTGCCTGGGTAGATTTATGAAATTTCAAGTCCTAAACGCAATATTAACAACATAATTAAATATAAACATATATTTGTAATATAAACATATATATTTATAATATAAACATATATTCTACAAAATCGCAAAAAAGAATAAATATTTTACCTATCAGTGACGTTGTGTCGACAGAAAAAAAAGGAAACATTAGTAGTGTCTCGTATGGATTTCGCGAACTATTTATTTGAAGTTAGCGTACCACGAGCGAGTGACACTAGGCCGAAGGAGCGAGTAATAATATTCACGAGCGTGACAAAGATAACCGAAGCCGCGACATGTTGCTGCGTTTCGTCGACAAAGGTGCGAACAAGCGCGAAGCGGACAAGGGAGGGCCACGCATTGCGTAGGCTACATACACACATATATGTTTAATACATTTAGTATTTAATACCACTAATATAAAATACCAATAAAATACCACTAAAAAATAAAATACCAATACTAAAATACCAATAAAATACTATTGAAAATAGTAGTATTTTAATCCAAATTCTAGAGCCACAAAAGTGGCTTTCCCGGCAGTCTAAAGGTTAAAGAATTAAAACGAAAAAATTGATTTACTCTCACCAATGCAGACACGTGGTCCTTCACCAAATGCCAAAAAAGCGTAAGGATGTCTTGCAGCCACTTGGTCCGCGTTGAAACGTTCAGGATCGAATTTGTCCGGATCCGGGTATATTGATGGATCTCGATGCACTCCTAGTACTGGTATAGTGATGTTTGTTCCTTCCGGAATGCGAACATTTGTCGTTGGCATAACCATATCCTTGGTACAGATACGGTTCAAAATAGGAACAGGTGGATATTTCCGTAAGGTTTCTGCGCAGAGATGTATGAAGATACGTTTTATTATACGTAACTAATTATAATATCGTGAAGAGTGTAGTTCCCTTGCGGAGAAAATATTCTTCGTGATATGTTAAGAAGATACCATACTTACCTTGGACTACTTTGTGCAGATACGTCATTTCGTTCATAGCATCGTAAGTCAGTCCACCATGCTTTTTCAACATCTGAATGATCTCCTGGCGAACTTTGTCTTGTATATCCTGATGTATAGCTAACTCATACAAGCAGAACGTAGCCGTGGTCGACGATGTCTCGAAGCCGGCTACGAAGAAGACAAAGGCTTGTGCGGTCGCCTCCAGAATGGTAAATTTATTCGTGTTAGCTGCGTTGGAATAAAGTATTAGAATCGCTTAGTGATCTCGCATGGCGACGTTATAAATATTTTAGAACGCTGAAAGTGCATATTTACGTAATTGCTACTTAAGCAAGACACCACGTATACGAAATTTTTCACAACGTCGTCACTGTGAAAATAAATGTAAGATATATATTTACAAGATTTATTGGCGGTGTTCTTGTTATCGTCGACTTCAACGTAGCCTTTCTCTATGAGTTGTATAAGTAGATTCATAAAATCGTGTCTGACGATGTTGTGAGTTTGCCTGTACTTCACATTGTCCCAGAATAATTTCGTGAAAAATTTGCTAACACCACGGTCCGTAATGGGAATGGAAAAGAAGTCCAAAATTTGCGGTGTGAAAAACATTATAGCAGTCCAAAAAGGATTCAATTCCAAAAATTTCTTTCCCCAATATCGATATTCATTATTCGGCTCAACTAAGCAGTTGGACTTTATTCCAAATGCGGTTGACATAATTACGTCTGTCGTGTATCTATTGATATTCGATAAATTATTTCGTTAAGTTCTGATGGATATACAATAATTTGCGTAAGCAAGTAAATAAACGAATAAGTGCGACAAGAGTTTATTCTAATTGGTTATGGATGCAAACCCGTTAATTAAGAATAAATTAAAACAAAGAACAAACGATTTATAATTATAATGTGCCGTTTTTACAAGTTACTTTTTAAATAAAAACCTTTATTCCGTTGTCTCAACGATCATTTTTCCTTTGAATAAATCTTCCTTAATTACCTTGCAAATAATTCTTTGATGTTGACAGCATTTTTTGTATGAGTTTCCATTTCTAAACTCTTCGTCAACCCTTCACTACACTCCTTTATAATAGCAAACATTTGCTTTATCTTGCCGGATGTGAAAGTCGGTGTCAATTTGACGCGGAAATTCCGCCACTTTTTTCCGGGCAATAAAAACAAATGACCAGATAGTGGATCGATTTTTTCGTTGCAATACATTCCACGATCATGAAAACTCTTGAATTCCTTCGTGAGCACAGTTTGAATTAGATCGAGATCGGCGACTATCAGATTTGGTTTGAAAAATGTATAGATTCCAATAACACGATGTTCCTTATATTTCATATAGAAATTTTTCATGAGTTCGCCTGTTTACACAATTTTTGTTTAGTTGTGGATGCAGAATATAATAGGATGTATATTATAGTATTGCAAATTTCAAAGAGACTCAACGAAGCAGAAGTGATTATTTTGTTACATATAATAGAAAGAGAAGGCTTTTATATTGTTTTTTTCATTTTCTGAGATGAGATACTTCAATTACTGAAGGTACTATTAACGTCAATCAATGATACTTGCCTATTGACATTTTTCCAATCACAGATTTGGTCACATTGCCAGTCGGTACAACAGGTTCGACAGGTACAAACACTCCCTTTTTTCGCCAGAAATTGAATATTACGTACTTATAATAAATATATACTAATATTAGGATGGAGATAAAAAGCCCGCTTATTAACATCTTGTATTGATATTTTTTGCCTGTAATATAACGATAAATGAGAAATTTGTAATGCTTTTCCGTTAATCGAAGTGTTAACGAAAGTGTTAAATAGGCTTTGGTATTTCTTAAACTTCCGATGTATCTATGCTCAATAAATGAACCGTTTAGTTTGAAAATTATGTATGTTTAATTTCGAAATAATTTAGTTATCTAATTGTTCTGATTGTTAATCAAATTAGTTTTATTTCTTAAAGCAATTCAGCCATCGACCAGAAGAAACCGTCTCTTATTGTCCAATATAGAATTATTTCCGTATTTATTGTCATGTTTTAGTTTAATTGTACAATTTGTCTTCAGAGGAATATATTTAATGGATGATACTTAAGATTTATTTCAATATTCGTAATGTCATGTTTGTGATCGCGTTTCAATCGAGAGGAAAATTATACTTCTTCTGGACATATTCAATATGTATTTATGACCCGTATTTATAGTCGTAACTTGAAACTTGCCTTTTACGTGAGATACTCAGGTTACATGCAGAGATGGAAATGGGTTTTTTAGCTAAAACTTGATTCGAAATATCACGTATATTATATGATTCAAATATAAACTCAAATCTGATTATAAACACATTGAGACCTAAATATCTTACGTGGGATTAGCTTCAAATAGCGATTAATACGGGTTTATGTTATGTGATTCAATAATCAATTAATGAAAATTTTTATGTATTCAGCATTTTAGTTCTTTATAGTATTATAAAAAAATACTATATACTCTCGTGTCTTTAATTGGTGCAACAAATTGCTAAACACATATAGTGCCAAATATTTTAATACAGAAACTTAGTACACATGACATCCCTTATAGAAAAGTATCACTAGCTGTAATAAATTGGTCAGTAATAAATAATAATTTTATTACTCGTACGAATAATATAATTATTGAACTCCACTAATTATCACTGGTTAAATTATCACTTAGTATTTGTTCGCAACGTGGCCGCAGGTTTTTTGGCAAGCGAACTTCCCGGACAGCTCGAGCGATTTGATCGTGTGATCTCAGACGACGCACCGAATTTGTGTTGGTTATAGCTTAGTTGTTGTTCGATGTGTCCGCTCGGAAAAGGTTCGAATCAAGCAAATCGTTTCACAGACGAAACAAATTTAATCGTAATTTACAAATAAAGCACAATTGAATATCTACCGTGCGAAGGTATGGTTGAGCCGGAGTTTATAATTACTGATGGCAAACGTGCCTTGATCGACTACTGAGTACCGGCGAGAAGACGGTTCGAAAACGTGAGAGGGATTATTCTTGGTTGTCGCCTTTAAAACGATGATTCTCGGCGCTTGGCAATTGCGGATTGGCCACGGCGCTTAAGTTTGATATGACGATATACAAAAAACTTGATTCTGCCTTCTAACGTTCGCAGCCGCTTTCGGAGTTCGATGTTATGCGATAGTTGCCGTGGGAACGGCACGTACCGCGTGTTATTCGTAATCGTTTAGCCTATGAAAACAATTAGGGTCACAGCTTGATAACGCGTGGATCCGGGCTAATGTTATGCTTCGAACTGTTATCCGAGTCGACCTCTTCGGGATCGAACGATCGATCTCGAACAGTATTAAATTTCTATGAGGGGTGTAACATGTGTGCAGCTACAAACGTGTCTTAATAACTTTTAATCTCTTATCAGTTGATTAACTTTTTCAGTAATACGCATATATATGCTATCATATGTCGGACACGTACGTATAAAAAATCTTATATTATGGTTTACGCATATAATTTAATTAATTACGTTGAAAAATAAATTACAATGCAGAAAGAAGAATTCGTATCGGCGGACTGTAGATACACATATGTGTCTTACGAATTTTTTCCACTCTTGAAACAACAATCATCAGCTATTGCAATCGGCGCTTATTTTTATGCAGTTTTATATATTTTAAATTTACAGTAATAAACACAATTTCATTCGTTCCGGCATACTTTCGATTTCTTAAGAAATTATCTTTCCTATTAATTGATATATAACAGTGAAAAATTTTTCGTTCAATTCTGTTCCATTCGATGTAAAATATAAAATTTTGTATTTAAAGATGTAGTTAGTTCACAGTCAATTCAATTTTTGTAATATGCAATCTATTTAAATCTCCCTTTGTTTTGATATCTCGTAGAAGAAGATAGTGCACTTACATCACTTTCAAAATACATGGTCAATTAAGACAAGAAGGGAATGTTCATTGTAAATCCGTTGCTAATATTACCTTTATTGCACAAGAGAACCAATTTATTTTATTGGTCACTAGATACAGTTCAAATTATATTTTTCACAATTATAAAACTGTATAAAATCACTTATAATCACATATTGCATGTTCATATCAACTAACGACACGAATGCAATGAAGAGAGAACTCGCTTATATTGCAATCCAACATTATCTTCAACACGCAAGAAATGAGAAGTGTTATTTAAGTCAGCAGGCTACATATTTTGTTATCACGCAAATAAATGACGTAGTGCTGAATTATTATCGTTTTTATCATTGATAATCCTCTTTGCGAAAGAAGAGCTAGATAAAGAGCCACTATTTAATAATATGCCTATAAAAAATCACATCTTATATTGTTGTTTACGCACATAATTTGATTAATGACATTAAGTTGAAAAATGAATTACAATGCAGAAAGAAGAATTCGTATCGTATATGTTATAAAATTTAAGTAAAACAAATGTTTTTTAAATTTCTGCGTATTATGTGTTTGAAACACAGTTGGACAAGACAAGCTCTCGAGATCATTTCTAGTATGTTTAAAATGTCCTGGCATATTTTTAGGATATTTAGTTATTATACCTTACACGTTTTTGCGTAATATATTCTCTATGAGTCGCAATCGATAATTTGTTAAAACTATTACCCCGGTCGATGTACATACATGTCGCATTCAACCAGTCATCAATTGGCCAATTGGCCATTTTTTTTATGCGATAGATTTCGTGATAATATCATACTGTGCTTGATTTTTTTGCATCAACGACATTTTTTGTTTACGTTTTTAAATACGGCCATATTTTATTTATAAAAAAAAATTAGTTTTAATAATATTACTAGAGTGTCAGCATTTCTTTTTTTTGATGTTTGTATGTAACATTTTGCACCCACATACCTCGTCAGGATTCATATTACTATTTAAAAGTATCAGCGTGGTTAGCTTATAGCGGTTCAATAATAAGATTTACACCACCTTTTGCATTGAGTACAAATATCTTATTATCAATTTCGAGTGGTATCGCAGTTTGGGGATGCAATTTAGCCTTGAATCTCGACAATACGCTTATAATCCCAACTTTTGCTTGCACGTAACCAAACCTTGTACCTGAAAATGTGGAAATTAAGTTGTGTGTGTGTTGATTATTCTTCTTTTAACCTTTAGGATGTCGGAATTTCTTCATTAAAAAGGGGTTTTTTTCTCAAAAAATTTTTCTATATTAGTAACATACATGGCGTAGAATTTTGAAATTTATGCAGAGCCACAAAAGTCGTTTTCCCGGCGGGGAACGTACGATCAAATATAAAAAAATTTTTTTCTAAAATAGTGTATTTAGGGGTTTTTGGTATCGCTAATTCCAATTCTGAGCATATCCTAACAGCATAGATGTCCAGGGGACATCCAGAGTACATCTTAAGGAAATCCTGAGGACATTTCTTCGTCCTCAGGACGTCGTCAGGATATCCTCAGGAGATCTTGTGCTGCCTGGGTAGATTTATGAAATTTCAAGTCCTAAACGCAATATTAACAACATAATTAAATATAAACATATATTTGTAATATAAACATATATATTTATAATATAAACATATATTCTACAAAATCGCAAAAAAGAATAAATATTTTACCTATCAGTGACGTTGTGTCGACAGAAAAAAAAGGAAACATTAGTAGTGTCTCGTATGGATTTCGCGAACTATTTATTTGAAGTTAGCGTACCACGAGCGAGTGACACTAGGCCGAAGGAGCGAGTAATAATATTCACGAGCGTGACAAAGATAACCGAAGCCGCGACATGTTGCTGCGTTTCGTCGACAAAGGTGCGAACAAGCGCGAAGCGGACAAGGGAGGGCCACGCATTGCGTAGGCTACATACACACATATATGTTTAATACATTTAGTATTTAATACCACTAATATAAAATACCAATAAAATACCACTAAAAAATAAAATACCAATACTAAAATACCAATAAAATACTATTGAAAATAGTAGTATTTTAATCCAAATTCTAGAGCCACAAAAGTGGCTTTCCCGGCAGTCTAAAGGTTAAAGAATTAAAACGAAAAAATTGATTTACTCTCACCAATGCAGACACGTGGTCCTTCACCAAATGCCAAAAAAGCGTAAGGATGTCTTGCAGCCACTTGGTCCGCGTTGAAACGTTCAGGATCGAATTTGTCCGGATCCGGGTATATTGATGGATCTCGATGCACTCCTAGTACTGGTATAGTGATGTTTGTTCCTTCCGGAATGCGAACATTTGTCGTTGGCATAACCATATCCTTGGTACAGATACGGTTCAAAATAGGAACAGGTGGATATTTCCGTAAGGTTTCTGCGCAGAGATGTATGAAGATACGTTTTATTATACGTAACTAATTATAATATCGTGAAGAGTGTAGTTCCCTTGCGGAGAAAATATTCTTCGTGATATGTTAAGAAGATACCATACTTACCTTGGACTACTTTGTGCAGATACGTCATTTCGTTCATAGCATCGTAAGTCAGTCCACCATGCTTTTTCAACATCTGAATGATCTCCTGGCGAACTTTGTCTTGTATATCCTGATGTATAGCTAACTCATACAAGCAGAACGTAGCCGTGGTCGACGATGTCTCGAAGCCGGCTACGAAGAAGACAAAGGCTTGTGCGGTCGCCTCCAGAATGGTAAATTTATTCGTGTTAGCTGCGTTGGAATAAAGTATTAGAATCGCTTAGTGATCTCGCATGGCGACGTTATAAATATTTTAGAACGCTGAAAGTGCATATTTACGTAATTGCTACTTAAGCAAGACACCACGTATACGAAATTTTTCACAACGTCGTCACTGTGAAAATAAATGTAAGATATATATTTACAAGATTTATTGGCGGTGTTCTTGTTATCGTCGACTTCAACGTAGCCTTTCTCTATGAGTTGTATAAGTAGATTCATAAAATCGTGTCTGACGATGTTGTGAGTTTGCCTGTACTTCACATTGTCCCAGAATAATTTCGTGAAAAATTTGCTAACACCACGGTCCGTAATGGGAATGGAAAAGAAGTCCAAAATTTGCGGTGTGAAAAACATTATAGCAGTCCAAAAAGGATTCAATTCCAAAAATTTCTTTCCCCAATATCGATATTCATTATTCGGCTCAACTAAGCAGTTGGACTTTATTCCAAATGCGGTTGACATAATTACGTCTGTCGTGTATCTATTGATATTCGATAAATTATTTCGTTAAGTTCTGATGGATATACAATAATTTGCGTAAGCAAGTAAATAAACGAATAAGTGCGACAAGAGTTTATTCTAATTGGTTATGGATGCAAACCCGTTAATTAAGAATAAATTAAAACAAAGAACAAACGATTTATAATTATAATGTGCCGTTTTTACAAGTTACTTTTTAAATAAAAACCTTTATTCCGTTGTCTCAACGATCATTTTTCCTTTGAATAAATCTTCCTTAATTACCTTGCAAATAATTCTTTGATGTTGACAGCATTTTTTGTATGAGTTTCCATTTCTAAACTCTTCGTCAACCCTTCACTACACTCCTTTATAATAGCAAACATTTGCTTTATCTTGCCGGATGTGAAAGTCGGTGTCAATTTGACGCGGAAATTCCGCCACTTTTTTCCGGGCAATAAAAACAAATGACCAGATAGTGGATCGATTTTTTCGTTGCAATACATTCCACGATCATGAAAACTCTTGAATTCCTTCGTGAGCACAGTTTGAATTAGATCGAGATCGGCGACTATCAGATTTGGTTTGAAAAATGTATAGATTCCAATAACACGATGTTCCTTATATTTCATATAGAAATTTTTCATGAGTTCGCCTGTTTACACAATTTTTGTTTAGTTGTGGATGCAGAATATAATAGGATCTATATTATAGTATTGCAAATTTCAAAGAGGCTCAACGAAGCAGAAGTGATTATTTTGTTACATATAATAGAAAGAGAAGGCTTTTATATTGTTTTTTTCATTTTCTGAGATGAGATACTTCAATTACTGAAGGTACTATTAACGTCATTCAATGATACTTGCCTATTGACATTTTTCCAATCACAAATTTTGTCACATTGCCAGTCGGTACAACAGGTTCGACAGGTACAAACACTCCTTTTTTTCGCCAGAAATTGAATATTACGTACTTATAATAAATATATACTAATATTAGGATGGAGATAAAAAGCCCGCTTATTAACATCTTGTATTGATATTTTTTGCCTGTAATATAACGATAAATGACTAATTTGTAATACTTTTTCGTTAACCGAAGTGTTAACGAAAGTGTTAAATATAGTCTTTTGTATTTCCTAAATTTTGGATGTATTTATCGTCAATAAATGAACAGTTTAGTTTGAAAATTATGTAAGTTCAATTTTGAAATAATTCAGTTATCTAATTGCTATGATTATTAATCAACTCAGTTTTATTTCTTGAAACAATTCAGTCATCGACTGGAAGAAAATATCTGTTATTGTTGGATAAAGAATGATGGATGAGAGAGAGAGAGGGGGGGAGGAAGAGGGAAAGGGAGAGAGAGACAGAAAGAAGGAAACGGAAGAAGGGTGGGCGGGTAATGATAAATTTGTAAATTAGTAAATAAGTTAGTTTTTAAGGTAGTTTTAGTCAGATTAAATTAGTTTTAAGATAGTTGTAAACTAGTAATAAGAGGAGAAGGAAGGAGAGGGAGGAGGAAGGAACGAGGTGTGTGTGACGGTTAGAAGCGTGCGAAAAAGAAAAAAGTTAGATTGTAAGAATTTAGGCGTAATTGTAACCCCATAGGGGATCAATAAAATCTTTATATATGTAACAACAAAATTGTTGGAAAGCACTGTGTAGAGAGGGTAAATCACACGCAAATATTAAAATTTAAATTTATCGAGAATATTTGAGTACTAATATCCAAGAAATTCCGTGTCTGTCTGGTTGTTTAAACCTTTTTCTTTTTGATCTTTGATATGTAGCATTTCAGAAATCAGACGTTTAAAATAGGAAATCTTCTTATCGTGTATTTCGACATTCTCTCAATCAAACGTATGGTTATTGCCAATTTGATGTACTTTAATTACAGAAATTAATGACAAATTGTTTTAAGAGGTTTACGGTCCTCAGTTATTCTCGTTTTTAACAACAATCTACCTGTTTGATCTATATATGATTACATTATCACATTTCATACAATTAATCTGATAAACAACATTACTGTGCATCAATTTCGGCAAAGAATCCTTATGTATCTTAATATTTTAACTTTTAATTGAGACTTGAATATCTTACGTGGGATTAGTTTTAAATAGCGATTAATACAGGTTTATGTTATGTGACTCAATAATTAATTATTGAAAATTTTTGCGTATTTAGCGTTTCAATTTTTTATAGTATAATAAAAAATATTATATACTCCCGCGTCTTTAATTGATACGACAGGTTACTGAACACAAATGGTACCAAATATCTTAATGTAGAATCTCAGTACACATGACATTCCTTATAGAAAAGTATCACTATGCTGTGATAAGTTAGCCAGTAATAAATAGAAATTTTATTTTGTAATAATAAGTATTATATAAGTATTATATAAAGTATTATATAAGTATTATATAAAGAGTAATAAAATTATTGAACAACAGTAATTATCACTGGCCAAATTATCACTTATCAGTATTAAATTTCTATAATGGATGTAACATGTTGGCAGCCACAAACGTGTTTTAATAACGTTTAATCTCTTGTCAGCTGTACGGATGTGTATGCTATCACATATCGGACACATACTATCAACGGACTATGGATACACATGTGTCTTAATTTTTTCGACTCTTGAAACAACAATCATCAACTATTGCAATCGGCGATTACTTTCATCCAGTTTTATATATTTTTATTTTATAGTAATAAACAAAGTTTTATTTGTTCCGGCATACTACTTTCGATTTTTTAAGAAATTATCTTTCTTATTGATTGATATATGAAAAATTTTTCGTTCAGTTCTGTTCCGTTCGATGTGGTAGTTAAAGTTATAATATTGAAAAATATAAAATTCTTGATTTAAAGATGTAGTTAGTTTACAAATCAATTCAACTTTTGTGATATGTAATGTATTTAAATTTTCCTTTGTTTTGATATCTTGAAGAAAAAGACAAGCGAACTTACATCACTTTCAAAATACACAGTTCAATTAAGACAAGAAGGGAATTGTTCATTGTAAATCCGTTGCTAATATCACCTTTATTGCACAAGAAAACCAATTATTTTACTAGTCACTAGATACAGTTCAGATTATATTTATTACAAATGTAAAACTGTATAAAATCACTGATCATCACATATTGCGTGTTCATATGAATTAACACTACTAATGCAGCGAAGAAGGAACTCACTTATATTTCAATCCAACATTATCTTAAACACGCAAAAAATAAGAAATGTTATTTATGTCACAAATTATCTTTTATTATCACGCAAACTAATGACGTAGTGCTGAGTCATTGTCATTTTTATCGTGCTGAGTCATTGTCATTTTTATCTGAGTCATTGTTATTTTTACGTTTAATAATCTCCTTTGACAAAGAAGGAGTTAGATAAACAAGAGCCATTTATATTATAAGAGCTATTTTTTATAATATACATGTAAGAAATCACATCTTATATTGCTGTTTACGCACATAATTTGATTAATGACGTTAAATTGAAAAATAAATTATAAATGCAGAAAAATAAAATAAATGCAGAAAGAAGAATTCGTATCGTACATATCATAAAATTTAAATAAAACAAATTTTTTCCAAATTTCTGCATGTTATGTGTTTGAAACACAGTTGGACAAGATAAACTCTCAGGATCATTTCTAGTATATCTAGAATGTCCCGGTATACTTTTAGGATATTTATTACACCTTACGCGTTTTCGCATAACATTTTTTTCATGAGTCACAATCGAAAATGTTAATTAAAACTATTACGCCAGGCGATGTAACATATATGTTGCATTTAACCTATCATCAATTGGCCAGTCTTTTTTATGCAGTCGATTTCGCGACATTATGGTGTTGCGCTTAATTTTCTTGCATCAACATATTTTTTATTTACGTTTTGAAATATGGCCATACTTTTGTTATAAATAAAAATAGGTTTTAATAATATTTACTAGAGTGTCAGCATCTCTTCTTTTTGATGTTTGTACTCTCTTAAAGTCACTAATCAGTGACTATGCACTAATAAGTACATAGTCACTGATATCAGTTATAAATATAGCACTGAGCACTTTCAATGCAACGTTTAGAGCTGCAGATCAGTGTATATTCACTGTTTTCAGTGATGTTTCACTGATTCATTTTAAGAAAGTATGTAACATTTTGCTCCCAGACACCTCTTCAGAATCTATTTTACTGCTTAAAGATATCAACGCGATTAGCTTATAGCGATTCAATAATAAAATGTACACTGCCTTTAGGAGTGAGTATAATTCTCGATTCATCAAAATCGAGAGATACCGTAGTTTGAGGATGTAGTTTAATCTTAAACTTCGACAGGACGCTTATAATTCCAACTTTTATTTGCACATAACCAAACCTTATACCTGAAAATCAGAAAGATTGATTACCCAAAGTTCAAAGAAATATACTAACAAGTAAACCCACGGAAGTGTCCCCCTTCGGTTTCGATAAGCTTGAAATATATTGTTGTCTAGACCAAAAAAGGGGACACGTTTTTTTTATACGTGCTTATACTTTTAAGGGATAAAACACCTTTTCGAAAAAAATCGGCATTTTTCTTTCGGAGCAAATATTGTCCAAAGTATACAAGATAAAAAAAAATTGTTTTAATAGAAATTAAATGGTTTGAAGAGTACTTTATAGTGATATTATCGGTTCTTCCGGAAATGTTATAATTTTAAACATATTCCCAGCACTCATCTTTTTTTACAATCTAAAAGTTTTGTTTGGACCAAATTAAAGGATATTTTATTTCAAATTTTTATAATGGCGAGACGTTTTCTATTGACATATAGATTGACATATATTTATTTTGCGTTTATATACTTCTTACCATGTAAGCGCAGAATAATAAATGTTGAGTTCTGTAACAACATAAACGTATTGGTTACCTGCATATACAGGGTGTCCGGTAACTGATCGAGCAACCGTCGTGTACGACCCTTATAGAAATATCATACTAAGAATCATACTAAGAATAATTACTTATTATCCAGTATTTTTAATACTGAAAATAAGTAATTATCAATGATTCTTAGTATGATATTTCTATAAGGGGAGTAGAACGGATCAAAACAATCATAAAAGTTGTATACCATTTTGAAATTTTTTCAAAATTTATTCCGTAATTAATTAAAATGTATAAACGAATGAGCTCACGAGAAGTGGTAGGACAGGACTCTGTGTGTAAAAGAAATGGCTTACCTCTTAGCAACGATAAGTAAAACTGATTTCGAGACGGAGTAACGTATATGTGTCGCTTGTTACTCCGCCTCGAAATCAGATGTTTACTTATCGTTGCTAAGAGGTAAGCCATTTCTTTTACACATAGAGTCCTGTCCGATTCTCGTGAGCTCATTCGTTTATACATTTTAATTAATTATGGAATAAATATTGAAAAAATTTCAAAATGGTATATAACTTTTATGATTGTTTTGATCCGTTCTATCTGTACATGGCGGTTGCTCGATCAGTTAGCGGACACCCTGTATATGATCAGTTTATATTATGATTATGAACGATTTGCATCGCAAAAATCACAAAAACATATTTGTTTAGATTCTGATCATCTAACTTCTAATCTATTTTTATATCACTCATGTTTCCCTTATTATTTGTATGATTATCACGCTCCCACTTGACTATAAAAAGTGACTATAAATAGGATAGAAAATTAGCAGTTTAGATTATTAATAGAGTTCAAAAAAACTTATTTATGTGACTTAAGCAACGCAAATCACTTATAAATATAAATTAGATGGTCAGAGTATAGGAAATGTTAACACGACTTTTGCTAAGTGTCATTCAAAAACATAATGTTGGCATATGTGTAAATAATCAACAATAAAAAAGCTTTTTTCGAAGGGCAATTTCACCCCTTAAAAGTGCGTATGGGCACATATAAAAAAAAACGTGTCTCCTTATTGGTCTAGATTATAATATATTTATTACAATATATAGATTACAATATATTTCAAGCTCATCGAAATTGGAGGGTTTACTTGTAAGTCGGAAGTACACTTCCGTGGATTTACTTGTAAGTTGTAAGTAAAAAAAGCAAACTATATAACGCTACAATAATAACTTCAATCGATCGAAAATTTTAAAAATTTCTTTGTACTTTTACAACTAACACAATATTTAAATATATGAATGCTATAATATATATAGATGTTATAATATAGCTATAAATTCCAAAATATATATAATCATGAACACTAAAAAAATCAACTTATCGATCTGAAAGGTAAAAAATATACGAAGATGTAATAAAAATAGATTGATTTGATCTCACCAATACACATTCGCGGCCCTTCCCCGAAAGGCAAGTAAGCGTAAGGATGCCTCGCCGCCACTTGGTCTGCGTTGAAACGTTCAGGATCGAATTTGTCCGGATCCGGGTATATTGACGGATCTCGTTGTACTCCGAGCACTGGTATAGTGATCGATGTCCCTTCCGGGATGCGAACGTTTGTCGTTGGGAGGACTATCTCTTTGGTACAGACACGATTTAAAATAGGTACAGGTGGATATTTCCGTAAGGTTTCTGCGCAAAGATGTATAAAGATACGTTACATTATACGTAACTGATTATAATACCGTGAAGTTTACAGTTTCCTTGCGGAGAAAAGATTCTTGGCGATATGTTAAGGAGATGCTGAAGTCGATGACGAACTCGAACAGTGTCGGTAATGTAGAGACGATCGTCACTAACATAATCACGCTATCCTTTTTGTATTTCTTGTATATACAGAACTTACATGAATGAGTGTTGCTTTGTTTTACCATATTCAACGGAAAATCTAACCATATACTCGTATATATGTGTGGGAATCTTTCTGCAAATTTTTTGATATTTTTAAGCTTCTAAATGCATATGCGAAGGTAGAGCAATGTTCTTCAAAATTTTTCTGTTGAGCATCCACTTTCAATATATACAAGCTGCGGAACTTTTGGATTAGGCAAATATTACGCTGACAGTTTGAAATTTTACATTCAAAATTTTTTTGTTCGTTTTCGTCACATATTGATACTTCTATTTATTTTTGCACATACTTTCATTGCGTAAAAGCATTTGTAATTCTGTGTAACCAACACGACGTAAACTTTGCAGAAAAATGTCAGTGTTCTGTCGGTAAAGTTTTCAGCTTCAGCATCCCCTTAAGAAAATGTCGTACTTGCCTTGGACTACTTTCTGCAGATACGTCATTTCGTTCACAGCATCGTAAGTCAGTCCACCATGCTTTTTTAATGTCTCATTGATCTCCTGGCGAACTTTGTCTTGTATATCCTGATGTATGGCTAACTCATACAGGCAGAACGTCGCCGTAGTCGACGATGTTTCGAAGCCATCTAGGAAGAAGACAAAGGCTTGTGCGGTCGCCTCCAACTCTTATAGAAATATCATACTAAGAATCATTGATAATTACTTATTTTCAGTATTAAAAATACTGGATAATAAGTAATTATCAATGATTCTTAGTATAATATTTCTATAAGGGAACATGGTAAGTTTATTCATGGTGCGTTTAGCTGTGTTGGAATAAACCCAGCAAACACAATGTTACATGTAACGTACTTGTTGAGTAGGAAATTACAACTAACATGTACGTTACATATAACATTGTGTTTGCTGGGAAGTATCAAAATCGCTCAGTGATCTCGCATAGCGACGTTATAAATATGTTAGGAAGTCGAAAGTGCCTATGCGTCATTTCCCAGCAAACACAATGTTACATGTAACGTATATGTTAGTTGTAATTTCCTACTCAACAATATAACTGTTACATAACATGCATGATATATAACAGTTATATTGTTGAGTAGGAAATTACAATTAACATGTACGTTACATGTAACATTGTGTTTGCGTATTTGCGTGATTGCTACATGAGCGAGACACCACGCACACGAGATTTTTCACAACGTCGTCGCTGTGAAAATAAATGTAAGATACATATTTACAAGATTTATCGGCGGTGTCTCTATTATCGTCGTCAAGTTCAACGTAGCCTTTCTTCATGAGTTGTATAAGTAGATTTATAAAATCGTGCCACGTAAACAGCAGTGGGTAAAAAAAAATTCTGTGATACTTCAATCCGAATGTTGTCAAAGGAAAAGATCTTATATCCGTCATCAATGCAAATATCACGAATAGTTTTTTCACTATGTAAATAAAACGGCAACCATTGCAGCATTAAGATAAAGAAACCTATTTTGTTTAATTTGGCTATTAATAAGGAGTGAGACAGAGTCAAAGGTTTTAGAAAAATTGAAGACAGATATGGTTATCATACAATTATCAATAGTTGATCTAATATCGTCTATAAGTCTTGTGAGCGCAGTTTTTATAGACATTCTTCTATCATAACGATCTTGACAATAAGATTAAAGATATTTGACTGACAAGGATCCATTAATTTCCGTAATTATGATTTCTTTCAAATGATAATTTTCAAAGCAGGGTCTTATGCATAATGGAGCATTATAATTAGTGTATATGTTTCGGCGACGTAAGTGCGAACAAGCGCGAAGCACCGGAGAGATACGCATTGCGTAGACTACATATACACATATATGTTTAATACATTTAGTATTAACTATAATATATTATACATTATAATACATTAAACACTGTTCAATGTATTCCACTATCTGTCCACTATCTGTAGGTTTTGATAATATTTACTAGAGTAACATAATATTTACTAGTTTCTCCTTTTTGATGTTTGTATGTAACACTTTGCTTTAAGGCATCACTTCAGAATCCATTTTACTACTTAAAAGTATTAGCGCGATTAGCTTATAGCGATTCAATAATAAGATGTACACCGCCTTTGGGAGTGAGTATAATTATCGATTCATCAAAATTGAGCGGTATTGCAGTCTGAGGATGTAGTTTGACCTTGAATTTCGACAGGACGCTTATAATTCCAACTTTTGTTTGCACATAGCCAAATCTTGCACCTGCAAATCAAAAAGATTGATTGTCCAAGATTCAAAAAAATACACCAAATTGTAAATAAAAGAAATCAATTACGAGATAGTACAACAATAACTTATCAATCGAACATCCTAAAAAATCTATTAAAATTGTTTATGTTATCTATTAAAATTGTTTTGTTTATGTTATTGTTAATTGTTTATGTTATTGTATACTGTATTTTATTATGTTATAGTTAATTATTTATATTGTATATTAAAATTGTTTATGTTGTTTTAATAATCTATTAAAATCTTCTCGTATTTTTAAAACTAACACCATATTTAAATTGGATGTTATGATACAGTTATAAGTTCCCAAACATGTATAATCGTGAATACTGAAGAAATAAAGATGCCGATCATTCCTCTGTGAGATAAAAAATATATGAAGATAAAATAAAAACTGATTGATTTGCCCTCACCAATACAGACTCGCGGTCCTTCCCCAAAAGGTAAGTAAGCGTAAGGATGCCTCGCCGCCACTTGATCGGCGTTGAAACGTTCAGGATCGAATTTGTCCGGATCCGGGTATATTGACGGATCTCGCTGCACTCCGAGCACTGGTATTGTGATCAAGGTCCCTTCCGGCACGTAAACGTTTGTAGTCGGGAGGACTATATTCTTGGTGCATATGCGATTTAAGACAGGTATAGATGGATACTTCCGCAAGGTCTCTGCATATGGGAACAAGCGTGAAAGTGCACTTTGAGGAATATAACTGATTATTATCGCGATAATTGACAGTTTTTTCGCGAAGGAAACGTTCTCCGCGACCTGCTGTGAGAGAATTAGAGATGTGTGAACTATTTGAATTCGAATAGGATCGAATTGAATCAAGTGAAATTCGACTCGATTCAATTTCGAGTCCCTGTGATTCCAAATAATTCGAAAATTTCGAATAGAAAAGTTTCAAATACGAATTGCATACATTAGCATTAACGATAATACTATTAAAGACATCCAGCCTTATGGGAATTAATATGACTTGAAAAGTTTACACTTTTATACATTAAACTTACCTTAAAAAATATTAAAAGAAGATAATGGCTTTTAGATAAACTCTTACCGACAACTGTCGGATCGATATGTATCGTTGCGCAGCTTTCAAGGCTGGAACTGTATTCCATACACGTTTATCGACTATATATTATATATTTTTTATCTTAAAATGAATTGATATCACCTGATCAATGTTATCTCTCTCATACTGAAGTCACTTTTTTCATGTTGAATTTAATGATTATGTTAATTAAAAATTCTTCCAACGATTCGATTTGATTCGGATAAAATTTCATTCGACTCGAATTCGAAATTAAAATCTGAGATTCGATTCAATTCGACCTAAAAAATCTTTGATTCACACATCTCTAGAAAGAATGTCGTACTTGCCTTGGATTACTTTGTGAAGATATGTCATTTCGTTCACAGCATCGTAAGTCAGTCCATCGTGTCTTTTCAACGTCTCGTCGATCTCCTGGCGAACTTTATTCTGTATATCTTGGTGCAAAGCTAACTCGTACAGACAGTATGTTGCCGTAGTCGACGATGTTTCAAAGCCGGCCAAGAAAAAAATGAAGGCCTGCGCGGCCGCTTGCATCATGGTAAGTTTACTCGTGTTGGCTGCTTTAGAATAAAATATCCATGATTCCAGATTAATAATGTCAACAATATTTAAAAAATTGAAAATATATTTACTGGATTGACGTGTATGAGTGCTTCATAAATGAAACATTGCGTACACAGTAATTTTTTGCACTCAAAGGGAAAGATGGTGACTAAATCTGTATGAAATAACGAACGTGTGACAATTATACGCGAGTTTTATATATGCAGAATTTTAATATATATATATATATATATATATATATATATATATATATATATATAT